AAACAGAATAAAAAAAAAAAAAAAAAAAAAAACCCTAATTTATTCTAAAATAAAACAGAACCAGAGAATGAAGGCTAAATACAATACACTTTTAACCTTATTAGTATGAAACTACTTGATCTGATTATAGAAAACAAACACATCTTGATTGCCTCTACTTCTCCAGATCTCTAAGCCTATCATCATCAGAAGGGGGAAAAAGAAGACAACAAGTTAATACGAACCATGGTCGGACACGTTACCTTATCAGTTTTCTTTGACGCATACGCTCGAGACTCGAACAGCTTCACACAAGCTCCAATACAAGAGCAGATGCACCACCTCCACCATTGCAAACACCTCCAACTCCATATTTCCCACCTTTTTGCTTTAGTACCTGTAATGCGAAAAAAAAAATGTATGATAACCGGTCGTGAGAGATATTGACTTTTGTATACACAAAGCAATGGAGAAATATTCAATAATGCTTCCACGACGTGACTAACATTTTTGCACTTATTTATAGCTCGTGGCTATTAAGAGGCACGAATATATATCCAACAGTTATTAAGAACAGTCTCATTCAGTAACTTTTCGAGGTTGGGTAACATTGCAGAGATTTTAGATAAATTACCCCCAAAAGCGTGACCAAGATACGTGCCCCGCTGCAACCAAGAGGATGTCCCAACAACACGGCTCCACCGTGTACGTTAACTTTATCCTGTTGATGAAGAAATAAGAGGAATACGACAGTAAAATAATAACTAAAAGGAAGATTGCACATTTAGAATGACTAACTAAATGCAAGTCATATTCAAATCATTCAATTCAAATGAGGCCGTAGAAGGGCATAGGAGTACTCACAGGAGAGATTCCAAGCAATTTCTGATTAGCAAGAGCCACAACCTACAGAAATAACGATAAAATAGAACATATAAGAATTTGAGGATCAAAGTTCTGGAAACTGATTATTTCGAGCCTGTCACGGAAATCTTACAGCAAACGCTTCATTTATTTCGTAGAAGTCGATTTGTGAAGCTTCTAAGCCAGCATGGGAAATAGCCTTTGGAACTGCAAGGGATGGTGCAGTTGTGAAAAATTCTGGCGCCTGCAAATCAATTCCCCATATTATTGTTAGTACAAAGTTCTTTGAAGATCAAAGATGTGATCGTTAATGCTTCGGCTGATGAAAGAAAATCAGGAATTACATGAGCAGCATCAGCATATCCTTTGATTTTTGCTATCACTTCCAGCCCAAGTTCCAATGCCTTCTTGCCACTCACTAGAACTATGGCAGCAGCACCATCACTGCCAATTAGAAAATTTCAACTTTTGATATAAGTTTGATTGATCCTCTGGCACGAGTTATCCATATAAACGCACGCGATAAAGCTTGATAAGTTTCTATGAACTTCCCAATACATGTGCAAGAAAAGCTTTCCTTTACCTTATGCTGGACGCATTGCCTGCAGTTACGGTACCTCCATACTCTTTAAAACTTGGTCGAAGCTTCCTCAACTTGGCAGGGTCGAACTGGCATCAAATTAATTTGTTTTCAAAGGAAATAAATAACAGCGTGCTAAAGAATTCTAGAATCATTTTGGTTACTTTCTGACCCCTTTATCTTGTATGGGCGATTGAACAAATTTTATTTTTAGTATGCATGCATGTTTGAAAACTGTACGCTCGGGGTGCATGGTGCATGAAAAACAGTAAGTACTACATAGATGGATGATACGGGCGTACCTTTCCAAGGCCATCGTCCGAATTGACAGTAGTCGATGGTTTTCCCCTTCCTCCAGAAACTTCGACCTGCAAAAAGATAGCGAAGACTTGTAATTTTAAACCAGAGAAATAGCCAAGGAATGATATGGAAGGAAATCCAACCGGAACAATTTCCCATTCGAAGGCACCGCTGTCCTTGGCAGCAATACCACGCTCAAAGCTCTGAACAGCGAAGTTATCCTACATAGAATCCAGCTTTAAATCAGTTAACAAAAGAGAACTAAAGCAAACGCAAACTCAACATGCATTACAAGCAATACCTGAGCCTCCCTTGTAATTTCATATTTGTCTGCACATAACTCGGCGCAATTTCCCATGCCAGAGTTAGTATAGACATCCCATAAACCATCTTTCAGCATTCCATCAACAAGAGAATCATGACCAAGACGAGACCCCTTCCTACAAATTAGCATGAATACAAGTTAAATTAGGCTTAGAGCTGCTCAGGCCACCGAGAATGAGAAGAGAAATTCAGAATAGAAAAGCAACCTTGCTTCTGCAAGGTACTTCGGTACATTTGACATGCTTTCCATCCCACCAGAAACTACAACGTCATTAATGCCTAACTGGATACTCTGTGCCGCAAGCATTGTTGCTGAAATAATCACAATAACAAATGTTGTCAGACTATTAATATCGTTCCGAGAGGAAAGTTTTAGAATGAAGATAAGAATGTGAACCTTTCATCCCTGACGCACAAACTTTGTTGACAGTAGTACAAATCACTGAATTAGGTATTCCTGCATCTAATGCAGCTTGTCTGGCAGGAGCCTGCCCCAAATTTGCACTTAGAACATTGCCAAAGATCACTTCTTGTACAAGTGAAGGATCAACTTTCGCCCTTTTGAGTGCAGCTATAAGTCAAAGAAAGAAGGAAAATACTTCATCATTGGTCAACTCCATTTCCAGAGCAGGAGAGAGAGGTTTCACAATTACCTTCAATTGCTATGGATCCTAACTTGGTGGCTGATAAAGATGATAAACTACCAAGAAATCCACCCATTGGTGTGCGTGCAACACCAACTATGCAAACATCTATACACCCAAATGTCGAATGTCAAAAAAATAAAAATAAATAAAGAGGAAAGAGGTGCCATATCTTAAAGCAGTAGGCTTTGATTAGGTATTTCCATTGAAAAGCAAGTGAAGTACCTCTTGGATTTATCGAATCTGTTGCTGCTGCTGCCGTAACCATGGTATGCTAAGGAAGAAAACCTATACCATTGAAAAGTTTCAGCAGTTCTGAGACAATAACAGTAAGGCACATCTTACACCACCTTAATCAAATATGGACAGATTTTGTACATGAATCACGGACATAAAATCTTATTTCCTTTTCATTTTCTTCTTCTCATTAAAATAATAATAACAATCAAGTAAGGCACTTAGTGTTATTGACTGTGATTTATCGGATTTGGTACATTGAAAAGCAAGTGAAGTACCTCTTATTTCTTTTCTTTTCTTTTTTTTTCTTTTTTTCTTTTTTCATTTTCTTCCTCTCATTGAAACAAAGCCATCGGATTCCCAAAAGCATTTATTTTGAATACGTGAGAAAGCAGCACAATAATGCATCCAGAGAAATTGTACGTGGAATCACATCTTAATCAATCAGTGGTTTTAAATGCAGACCTCTAAGATAAACATCTAAAAGCTCAAATAGCTTGCTCAATATTGACCATTAGTACATTTTCACGAAGTTAAGAAAATACATGCTAAAGCAATTCATAGAAATTCCACCAAGAAGATATTACTCAAGTTGGAAGTCAATTACAACGTAATTATTGAAGGTTTCTTTGAACAGAGCGAAATTAAGCTCTCGAGTTCGGCTTCATTACAGTTTATCAAATTCAATCAACACAACAAGCTTCCCAGTTCTTTCGTCAGCAAAAGAAAACAAACTCGTATTTCTATACCACTTGAGATTAAATTGTTTTAAGCACAAGAATTTATAATATGACAGTCTTTAAGAAAATGATATTTAAATAGCTCGTCTCATAAAAGTTAACAATTTTTAAATCATGCGATCTTTTTACGGCATCAATTAAAATTACTATCCCCACTCAACAAGAGAGAAAAGGGGGGGGGGGGGGGGGGGGGGG